GGTGTAAATTTTATACCATCATAAGTAATAGCAAGTCCATCAAGCCTGCTCTGCTATGTAATAAGTCACAGCTGATCTGATTGTGCCTTAACTCCACTTTCTTGCTCGCACCCTTAACCCTTGACTCCCTTTATAGATCAAAATTCTGTCTAACTCAACCTTCAATATATCCAATGACCAAGCTTCCACTGGCCTCTGTAGAAGAGAATCCCAAAGATTAATGACCTACTGAGAGAAATTATTTCTCATCTCCATCTTAAATGGAGACCATTTGCTTTTTAAACAGTGCCCCCCAGTTCTCTATTCCCCCACATCGGGAAATATTTGTCAATATTCACCCTCTCAAGTCCCTTGAGAATCTTACGCTTTAATAAGATCACCTCTCATTGTTCTAAACTAGTACACTGCTATTTCTCTGCCTGTTCTATCTATGACCACTGTGCTACTGAAACTGAAAAGCAAAACTTCTTTTGTCTTTACAAGCACAAAAAAAATGTGCGAGGACCGAATGCCTCTTTATCTTTTACATTAGTAGAGCAGTCCAATAAACTGTTCAGCTCTGTTGGAGAGTCCCTTGACACTAATTTACATTGCATGGTAGAATGCAGATAATCAAACATAATAAACTGACACTTACACCAAAGTGCTGTATTGGCTGCAGTGATTTAACTCACTACAAACCACCCTATTACTCGTGCACCTTGCTAATTGCACCATAGATTTGCTCTTGATGAACACAAGCCAAATTAACACCAGGGCATTGATGTACCTGTGTGCTATTATCGTTTGCACAGGCAACACAGCCAGAACCTTTTGCACTTAGTTACACAAACATTATTATTAAATGATTGGCCGCTAGCAGTCTTTGACAGATTGCAGCCTTAAGGGAGCCCGAGGATGAAACCAATCAAGAAGTTAATGAGGGGAAAAATTACCATCATGCCTGCTCCATAATTACATTCATGCCAGGCAAGAATAGGGGGTGTGGGTAACTCAGCTGTTGTTTGTAAAGGTTAGGTGGGTCAAGAACCCTTCAGTTGGTTCATGCATCTTCCTTGGCTAGTAATCTGATAGGTTATTATGGCCCAGGAATATTGTGGCTTGGTTACTTTCAACTTTTTCATTTTTATTGTAGTTTTCCAGTTATAAGTCACACACGAGTATCCCCTTGTTGCAAAATTTTATGTGACTGGGTCATTGTGTTGTGGTTTGATTTATTTGACAGTTTCAATTATTTTTTTCTTTGCGTTTATCAAATTCAAATTATAAAAGATAACAAGAATCTAATTTGAATAATTGCCAGTTTTCAATGACCTACAATGGCAAGAAATTTGAGGAATGTGATGTTGCCAGCCTTTAAGCATGATTGAGATTCACTAATGTAATACTGGAGAAAGTGGCCAGTGTAAGTGGTACGTTAGTAATAGACTCTTTCTTCTGAATGTTGTTCTATCAGTTTTCTCTACTTATACTGCCACCCTACACACACACACACACACACACACACAACCCTCCCACAAAACGTTTGAAAACATTAGGGTAGAACTGTTACTCATTTACAAATGGACAACAATTAAGATCTAAATGCGGGGTCTAAGCTGGTTTCTGTATTGGACTCTATACGTGAATGAAGCAGATGAGCTGCAGATACCAGTGAGACATTGGGATGTAGTCTGTTGGTTTGGGCTTTTGCATTTGAGGCTAGCTCTAATGTTAAACTACCTTCAGGTAAAGTTGGGAAAGCGTCTGTGTTCAGCTTGTCACAACTTGCAGTCAGAACCTTGGGGGAGATGAAGAGGTCCCAAAATCTGGCCAACAAAAATCCATTTCTACTCCTGTCAGTTTTACAGATGTATAACTTGTAAAGATTTGCTGACTGTGTTTAACAGCCTTCAAAAGTTTCTTATCAATGGGACAGGTTAAGACGCCTGAATGAGAATGACAGGGCAGAGCACGCATTGCAGACACTTTTCCCCACGAATACACCAATTAATTTAGAGCCATTCATCCAGTATTAGAATCCCTGTTTGCCTTTGCAAGGTACATGGCACCCATTTATGCAGGGCTCTTGCAGCACAAATAAGTAGCACAGTAAGTTTCCTAGTTAGCAGCTGGAATACTTTCAGGTTGATGTGCCATGGGAGAATGCAAGCCAAAACTTACTCATGTGCTTTGTTTTACATCAGAAAATGTAGATCCTCATATGTGCATTGTGACCCAAGAACTGACAAGTAGCGCAGATGTTTGATTTAATGGGTCTCTGTGCTCATTAGTGTGGATGTCATCCGTGCTTTGATATGGAATGGTTTCAGGTATTTTTGGAGGCCGTGGTGTAATGGTAAGTCATTGGGCCAGTAGGCTTAGGCTAATGGCTTGGTATGGGTTCAGTTCACAACTAGGTACCTTGTGGAATTTAATCTCAATTTTAAAAGAATTGGAATTATACAGCTGGTTTCAGTAATGGCAGCCATGAAACTAGCATTAATTGTTGTAAAAGTCCACATGATTCATGAATGCTGTTTAGGAAGTGAAATCTGCTGTCCTTATCTGGTCTGGCTTATATGTGACTCCAGAACCACAGCAATGGAGTTCACACTTAATTGCCCTCTGAAATGGTCTCACAAGCTCACCTCAATCAGTTCAAGAGAAATTAAGGATGGGAAGCAAAAACCAGCAATGCCTGCATCCCATGAAAAGCCTTTTTGGAACTTAGATTGTGTATTGCACCGTTGGATGTACAGTGCACCCCCTACTCTGTCGGTAGAAAAATCGTTTCCCCAACCTTTGAAGAGTGCCTTGTGTAGTAGTTTATTCTGCTTTTCTAATTCCCAGTCTTCTCCTTGAGTGACATTGTTGATTTATTGCATAATTGTTAGCAGTTGCCAACTGTGGGTATGTTGAAGCTAGCTAGACTTATTTCTCAAGGAGCGCCATTACCAGTAGTTGCTGGACAAGACTTTTGTCTTAAGTTGGGCTAAATTTCAGCTAGTGTCTAGAAACAAAAGAACCAGTATTGTACATGTATACTCAAATGTTATTAAGCTATAGTTCTCATTCATCAGAAGATTTGTGCTGATCATATTACATTTTGTCAAACATTTCCCAGTGTTGTAATGAGTAATAATGTGTAACGAAAAATAAGTGAAACCTTTTTTTGATCAGAATTGTACATTTAAATAATGAGATTTGTCAGTCTTTGAATATCTGTTTATTAATTTTAGAAAAGTGTCAATGCCACTATTTTAATTCTTTTTAAGTCCAGAAATAAAAGGATGGAGACTGGACCAAAAGTGATTAGGATTTTTTTTAAGATTGATTTTCCTATGTGATTCCTTACCATGTATCAGTACAGGTCTACTGCTCCCTCCTTCACTATTCTGAGCTCAGATCTCACCTCTTAACTTCTTCCACCCCTACCATTGCCCTTCTGTACTGCTCACTGATACTAACTAAACAGCACATAGGGGGCAGTTGTCACTGGGGAGCAAGGCAATGAGACAATGGTGATAGAAGGTCAGAGGGCAGGTGAAGAGAGACAAATGAGACTAATGGATGTATGCATGCCAGAAAATGAGTAAAAATATGGCAAGATGATACCACTGTGTCTTTTTAGTTGGCTATAGAGAAACAAATAAAGGGGGTCCCGAATTTACAAATGTCTAACTTACAAATGCCCACACTTTCGAACATGATCCCATAAAAGAGTGTAATTTAAAGATCTGACACTGAAATGTTTCCTAATACTTAACGAATGGCTACTTTATATTGTCCTGCACTATGTTCCGACTTGCATACAAATTGACGTGCAAACAGATTCAAGAACAGAACCCATTCACAACTTGGGGGACTGCCTGTAACAGCTTCGTTCTTTTGTTTTGTTCAGTAAGGAGGAGAAATCAGGAGAAATTATATGTCATATGTCCTACTAAAGAACACTTCACCTTGAAGTAGATTCGTTTCCTTGCTCTCATACGCAGGGAATTGTACATATTCTAGCTGACCAAACAGCGGTGAAGAAGGGCTATTTTAATTGGCAAAAAGAACTCAATTCACAGCCTTGCATAATGTTTTTCATTTGCAGTAGGCTCTAAATTAATTGACCAGAAATTCTATAGTTTTCATATTTGTGGAAAAGACAGTTATTGCATTAAAAATGTCAGTGATTTAATGTTCTAACTTGAACTCAGCTTGCAAATCCATATTTCTTCAAAACGAATGCACAGATACTCCAGAAGATCTAGTAATTACAAAAGAAAATAACTAAGGTGAGCTTCCTATTGGCCAATGATCAAATTGTTGGCAGTGCCTGGAGTCAATAAAGGAGGAAGTGTTCCAGTGATAAACAAAATTTTGTCAGGAAAAGAATAACCTTGACCTTACAGTAAACTGTATGTATTATAAATCTGCTGGGGTCACTCCATCTGTTAATTGTAGACCTTCAACAATTCCTTACCTAATTTTTAAAATAACCTAACTTGCCATAATTTGGTTACTTCTTTCTCTCATAAAAGGTCATGTTGGGAGTGAAACATTTCCAGTTCAGGTGACACCAAGCATTCCAAGGTCAGGCATTGTACTACAAGCTAAGAAAAAGCTCTTCTAGCAATACACATCTTGAACCAGAGAATAGTATTCCCTAAATGTTAGTTTCCCACAGGCATCCTATGGTTTCTGTGATTAAGGATCAGTTTATGAAACTAATCCAGTCAATGATCAAATTGAGGTTTCCCAAAGTCAATCCATGGAAGACGAATATAGCTAGTTGTTGGGGGATGTTTTTGTCCCCTTTTTCTGTTAGATGTTACTCCAGATCTCCGATGTGAGAGGAAAGAATTTGCTTATCAGCTGTTCCACCAAAAGTCCCTTGATTTATACGTGTTTTTGATCCAAGTAATTTGCGTTGTATATCTGAATTATATGAAGATTAAAACTATAGTTTCATGAAATATCAGAGAGATGTAAAATATTAAATCAGAATTTTACTATTTGTTTCATTGCAGTATTTTCACCTTCCAGTAGTCAGGACTCAGGTTTGATCTCTCTGTCCAGCAGTTCCCCTGTCAGCACCGGAAGCATTAAACAAGAGTGTGAATCTGTCACCGAGTCTGGCACCTTCTCTGTTGATTCCATTATTGAAAGTGCAGAGTGAGTAAGACAGTGATGTCTAAACTGCTGGATCATGCAAAACATGAATCTGAATAGAGTACTTTAGCCTTGGCTAAAATGGAGAAAAAAAAGTTTTCTGTTGTATTTCTTCCATTGTTGTTGAATAGTTTCAAAAACTACAGTTCAATAAATAATGCCACAGCAATTAATTACTAACCTTTTGCCACCCTGACAGAAAGCATTACTTGATAAAATAAAAACATGATGTACCATACGTTTTTTTTGCCAGGCTGCATACACTGTTCTTTGGCTCTGAATTAATAGATTGAAATTTTTATGCCTCATGTGGACACATGGGCGGTCAAATTAGTTGCTGAACATTGGGCTGATTATCAAACGTCTGCTAACTCTAGGGCTGTAACAGATTTTGTGCTATTTTTTGAGCTGCAAAGTACATTTACTCATCTAGAACTGAAAGCTTTTCACAGCCACATTGATTGCACTGATTTCATAATCAAAGTTCAGGTAAAATCAATCTTGTCAAAAAAAATCACTGTAATATTAGCAAGAACTCACTAAAATCATTGCATTGTACCAGGGTTTGTCAGGGTCTTTGGTAAACACGAGTCAGCCAAACTAGTTTCAAATCCAACTATAGATCCAATACCATAGATCTGTATTGCATTTCATTCAGGTTTCCTTTTCTGACTTTTCTCAGGGCACAGTTGAAGTTAGATGTTGAGGTTTGATCTATTTTTATTAGGTTCATACATACACCATGAAATGGCTACTTTGACCCTCCAAGACCATGTGATTGAAATTCTTCTGCGTTCATGTGAAATTCCCATCTTGCTTTTTTAGATAAGATATCAGCCCATTTACAAAACAAAAATGAATAACACTGCTAAAAAAGCCAAACAAGTTTGGTTGAAGCATAGAGACCTGCTCACTATTAATCAAGCAAAGTAAAACCCACCTACTAAAGTAATATTACGCCAAAATAAAGTGAAGAATGGTTTTAATATTGATACTGAAGAGTGGTGAACTTTCTACCATAATTGATAGCACAACCTGGTAGAATCTTTCAGACCGCAGATAATGATAATAAACATCTGAGTTCATATCGCAGGCTCCTTTGTTCGTTTCTGATATCAATTGATTTTTGAAATAAATAAGAGCCAAAGACCAACCATGTTTAGGGTATATAACCCATAAATAATCTGTCTACTACCTCCAAATTTCCCCCAGTAGTAATCAATGATGTTTCTTTCATTAGATGTTCATTTACATTTTGTAATTCCAATACGTAATGAAGATACTAACATGAATTTTTACATAAAAGGAAATCACAAGTCTTACCTGTTCTAATATCATGAATTTTCTGAAAATCAAACCCAGAATTTGTTTAAGGTAGACTTTTTTTTCTTTACCCTACCTGCAATGATCATTAAACAGAGCTGCAGAGTTCAGAATGTTAGAACAATACTTAAGAACTTTGTATGCAACCTAAAATGCTTGTATAATAAGTTGAAAATGTATAGCATTGTATTTCATATAATAACTGTGACACGGTCAAAAGCAAACACTGAAGGCATTGATATTTTGTCCTCATGAGGCTTTTGTCACAGACTGGTTTAGGGTGGCAAGCGAAAATTCAGCATATTTTGCAGTGTTGCCATATAGTGGGTCATTTTAATAATGGATTTTTTTTCTGTAAGTAACTTACAACTTTAATGTATGGAGGGTGTATGCAATTGGTTTGATGCTTGTGCAATTATTGTTAATTTTATTTTTATTTATTTGCATATATGTATGAGTGTGGTGTGTATTTTTCCGTTAAAGTGTCAAAAAATGTAATTGCTCGGTTACACTGCTGCAAATTCTGAACCCATTTGCATGGGAAAACAGATGCTTGACAACTGGGGAGCCCAACCTCTGCATGTTATGTGTTATAAGAACTAACATTAGAAAGGTTAGAGAGCTGAGCGATGACTTTCTGCAGAGGTCCTCTGATCCATCTGTGGTAACAGGGAGGTAGAACCCTGGATTTTAAATGTTTTTCCAGTGTCAATAAGGCTCATTCCATCAATGTTACCGTAAACGAACCCCGCCCCTGTGGAAATTCACCTCTAGGATGTTTTATGTTTTCCCTCCTTTGTATTCTCTTCTATCATTCTAAGGATTTTTTTTACAAAGATACTTTTCTTTAGTGTAGTGAACTCTTCTTACTGGTGTTCGCCACAAACCCATTTTATTCTTTTAGACTTAGGTCTTGCTAACAACAGATACAATAGCCTCACTTATTTGTCTGTGCAGATGCAACTCACATCTGTGGAATTGGTTAGCTGCAACAGAGATATGAAGGGGAAAAAGTACAATCTGAACTGACCTGGGCCCATGAAATGGAAGCCCCAGGAGAATGGAAAATTTTTGCTGCGCTTTTTTTTATTCTTCGACTTTTTAGTGATGATTTGATTTTCTTACATAATTATCTGCCATTTCAGCCTGTAATTATCTGTAGATTTTCAGTATTAACCATTCTACCACTAAAGGGGCCTCTCTATATTGTGCTTCTTCGAATCTGTCAAAGGACACATTTACACTACAACTGTAAAGCCAGGTGGAGACGTTTCAATTTGGAGCAGTCCTGTAGTTATAGAATATATACAGTTCAGAGTCACTACATCTCTTAACACCCGCTTTATATTACCAATGATTAGCTCTGACATGAAAGCTGGAACCAAGTGTTGCATACTGGTACTAAACTTGTAATGTGAGTACACCCAAAGTCTTCCTTTCTCTGGCTGTTACTTTTAAGCTGATTAAAATAACTCACTATATGAACTGGTTTATTTTTATATGGGGGATTGGAAAACGTTATAAACAAAAACAATTTAAATTGCTTATTTGTGGAAATGTTACTGTTAAGGCATGAATTTTTAGGGTTAAACCTGGTAAAACCAGACATATTCTTCTTCTGTTCCTCTTCGAAATGGCAGAAATAACTGCACATATTTGCCAAGTCTTAAAACCATGCACTCAAAATGTTGAATCACTTTTAACTGTTGAAATCTGGTGAACATTTCTTCTTATCACTGTGTTAGTGACATTGTAAACAGAGCAGGAAAAATTTTAGATTTCACTGTTTAATGTAAAGATGATTTGAATGAGCACATTTATGATTTCGCTAGAAGTATCAATGTGGCTAAATCTTCCTGTTCTGTTTACAACATCTGTTCACACTTAGCATCCAGAGGAGGTCTTCCCTACCCTCGAAGTTTGTTCTGATGATGATCTGACAAAATTGTAAGATGCTTCAATTGTGATATCCTCTTCAAAAGTTTTTTAATTAAAGAAGTGAAATTAAAAGAATTATTTCACCCAGACTTGTTCTGCAACTGAAGTTTCAATGTTGGCAGAGATATAAAAAGGACAATATTGGATCAGCTGACCGTGATAAACCCTTGGCCTACTTAGCATTGACTTGGGTGGTGTGTGTAACAGGCATCCTATCCAATATCACCAATTTACACCTCCACTCAAGTTGCAAGTTCTGGTGAAATTTCGCCAGTGAATCTCAAACTAGACATTTGATCATTTAATATTTTCACCTAATTTTAACTTTTTATATGCATTTCACAAAAAAAATGACTTCCCAAATTTCTCTCATTTAAAAAAAACCTTGAAGAAATCATGCCTTGCCTACTGTTACTAAACAGTAATCATTTTTGCTGGTGTTGTTTACATTAATGCATTTTACCAAGTGTTTTGAACAATTTGGTTCTGTGTTGTAAGTTTTTTGTTCTTTCATGAAATATCTGTGATAACATGATTGTAAGCATCAAGGACATATACAGTCACCACTGACAATGTCAGAAGAAATTATTGAATTAAATTTCTTGGCCGATAAATATTTGATGCTGGATAGAAAAAAGAAATTACTTGTATTTTCTTTGCTTTGTGCATTAAAAATGTCTATTTGATTTCACCACATCCATTGTAATCAATAACTTGGCCATCTTGTTTTTTTTTATTAAATGCACTTATTCTTAATTTCATCCACCAGTGGTTTTAGGGAGAATAATGTTGAGTTACCTATATGGGTCTGACATTATAAATCACTTCTTGAGACCAAATTGTATGGTAGTATCGATTGATCCTGATATATCACAGAAATTTACTGTCACTTCTGTTTTCAATTAAAGATACAATCAGTCAGATAATGACTTAATTGGATTTCACAGAAGATTGAGTTTTATTACCCTGTGGTTTACGAGTTTAGTTAAGAAAGACCATTTCATCACACTTGTCAGGCTGCAGCAAGAGTGTGCCCTGGCTCTGTGTAACAAGCCTCAGTGGTAGAGAAACCAAGAGAGGAGCATTGGTGGGTGTTCGTTCCATACCTGTGTGTTGAAGTATCTTAATAAAATCAATAAAACACATTTTGAACAATCAAGGTGACCAGTAGTTTGTTGTACTTTAATTTTATTTTCAACCTATAGCAAATAAGTGATAAATCCCTCATGAGGCAAAAAGTCATCATTTAAAAAATGCTCATTATGAAGGAATGATTCATTGTAATAATTAAATCTCCAGTAACTGATTAAAGAAATAATAAAATCTCATAGAACAGTTTTAATTATTGCAAATTATTACATAATAGAGATAAATCTTCTTGTATCAGATTCATAATTTATTGTCATTATGATTTTCTGACTGATTTCAGGTAAAAATATGATACTGTTATAAAAGTAATGACGTGCTATGCAAAAGCATCACTGTTATTCAGGTGTCGGTTTTATTCAATTCTCGAAAGAAAATGGTTAAATCCATGGAAAGATAATAAAGTATTATACATAAGCATAGAAATAAGAGGCTATTTGGGGGGAAGGTGGTGGTGTAATGGTGATGTACTTGATGAGTAATCCAGAGCCCCAGGCTAATGTTTTATGATCATGAGTTTGAATGGCAAGTAGTGAAATTTGAACGATTTTTAAAAAAATCTGGATTTGAAAATTAAAAGCTAGCCTTAATAGTGACCGT